CTTCCGAAAATCAGGCTTTGGGCGACATTACTGTACATTGTGTTCTCCCTGTGTGAGTTCCGGGCCCTTATTCTGGGGAAAACTATAACAGACCCCTGCCTCTCAAATAAGCATGTCTTAGCCCACTGACTACCAGTCTCGTTAACCTTGCACTTTGCCAGAAAGCACATATTTTAGTGTCTACTAGGAATTCTATAGCGTCACAACTATTTAACATAAACTCATAATGTTTTGCATTTTTGTACCAAATTGAACTAAGAACACATTTCACACTAAAGAAATGTGGCTATAAATTGGTACAAAAAAGGCAACCAAAAAATCTTCTGACACCAATAAAAGTACCCCCCCCCCCCCCCCCCCCCCCCCCCCCCCCCCCCCCCCCCCCCCCCCCCCCCCCCCCCCCCCCCCCCCCCCCCCCCCCCCCCCAATAATCCTTCATGAGAGAGTTGTGCCCAGCTGAAATAATCCTGTATGAGAGAGTTGTGCCTAACTGAAATAAAATTCTGCAAATTTAGTGGATGTCTGCCTTTTTTTCTTCTGTCTTCTTCTTCTTCTTCTTCTTCTTTTTTCCTTTTCTTGAAATAGATTATCTATATCTGCAATGTTGTCTCTAGCATAAACTTCATTGTCTGCCCTCTGGATGTCTGCCATTTTGCACTAAGAACTCCTGTTACAGTATGACTGAATTGTCAGACTCAGAAACCCACAAAAATTATCTTTCCCCAAAATGCGCACCGTGGGAATGGCACCCCGATAAACCTTAAGGATTGCATTATGAAACGATCTTCACTAAACTCTAAGCCACAGAGCTGTAATGTACACAATCTGTACTAACAGACTGATCTAACAATACACACCTGAAGCAAATGCATGAAATAGTTTACACAAACTAATGTAACATAACACACCCACCTCCAACAGCCAGGCCACTGCTATAAGCTAAACATCCTCTTCCAGTTTCAACTATGTTTTTTGATGGTTGTTCGTAAGAATTATTAAAATCACAGTCATCCAACTGTTCAGAAATATTCTTACCTTCACTTTCAGATTTAAAACAATCAAGACAACATCCCTTCTTCTTCTCTTCCACCTTGTACCTCATCGAAGTCTCAGGGGTAGATGTAATGTTCGTTGATGAGCTCTGTCAAGAGCACTGTTAAGACTGATATTCATTTCTGTAAGGCTGTTCTTAATGCCATCACTCCATAGTTTCCGAGGTCTTCCTCTCGCTCTATACCCATTGTAACGTTTTAGTGTGGCTCTCTGTGGCAGATAGTACCAGGGCATTCTTGTTAGGTGTCCAAACCACTTCATTTGTTGTTCTTTGATGACCTGTAAGACTGGCTTTATTCCTAGCATTCGTCTGATTTCATGATTTGGTATTCTGTCTTTCCTTGAAACTCCTGCAGCTCTTATCTGTTGTCACAATTTTACATTCATTGGAGGATGTAAGTGTCCACGTTTGGCATTGATAGCATAGTGTTGGCCAAAAAATAGTTCTGATAAGATTTACTTTAGTACTGGTATCTGCTTGTGTGTCAGCAGGGGAGATAGTTGCCCCATTACTTGATTAAGACAACATTCCACTGCATACAGTTTTTTTTTCTTCAAGTAAAGTCCATTCACCTTTGCAGTGAAACCACACCCACTCTTTTTATCGGCGACTACAGATCCATCTGTGTATTTAATGACGTGTGAATTTTCACTGAATGATAAAGCTGTGATTATCTATAGACCCACTGTCCCCTGACAAGCATGTTGTGAAGTCTACTAATGGATGGGGTTTCCTTTTAAGTCAGAATACATCTGTCTGAGAGGGGAGGACCCAACATTCAGGAAGCCACTAGCCTGTGTACAAGTAAGCTAGATCTGTACAAATGGATGTGCACACCAAATTGAGGTTCTGGAACAAGGCTAATGTCCAGCAGTGGACGAACAACCAGAACTTTCCGCTGGAGTTAACAGCCACTGAACAGGAAGATAAAGAAGGAAGAATGTTGAATTAACATCATATCACTCAGGACATCCTCATAAGTGCTCCGTTCCCATCTTCAGTAGCAAGCGAAGAGTTCCAATGCCGATGGCACCAGTAACTGTCTGATTGTATATCCATCTCGTTTTTTTCCCTGACATTGAGCACAGGCCTGATCCTCTTGTAAGAAGGAAGATTTCCTGTCATCTATATTGCTACAGAAAGATACACTGTCATCTTATAAGGTTATGATTTTTAATCAGTACACAACTTGAGAACAATGAGGGAGTATAGGAAAGACTAGAGAATCTTTGGTTTTTATTTTTATTGCAGAGACACTGTGGTTTGGAAAAGGCTGGAGTCCCTGCCTTTGCTATGGGATGTTATTCAGGAATTCAGCTCAAGTAGGATATCTAATGTCATTAACTGGTTACATGTATTGAATCCTGACATATTCTCACCTTATGATGCTTCTGTCCTATGCCATAGTTAGTTCAGACAACCTGGCTGGCACTGACACCTTTTCATTTTCTTTTCTGAAGATGTCCAGCTGGTCCTATGTCGAAATTTATTTTTTATTAAAATTTAGTCAGGCAACAGTCTTTTTTTCAGGACAGTTTAAAATTCATTGTGTCTGTATTTTGTGGGATCAGATGTACTCTCTGGTAGCTTGTATACTCACTGAAGTCTAACGTACTCTCTCAGATCTAGTATACTCACTAGGATCTAACATGCTCTCTCAGATCTAGTATATTCACTGGGGTCTGTTGTGCCCTCTGGGATCTAGTTTGCTTTTTAGGGTTTGTTGTTCTGTCTGGATATAATGCGTCTTCATGGATCAAATGGGCTCTCTGAGGTTATTAGGCTGTTGTGCTCCCTGGGGTTAAGTGTGATTTTGTGCCCCCTAGGGTCTGTTGTACTCCCTGGGGTCTAGTGTACTCCTAGGGGTCTGTTGTACTCCCTGGGGTCTAGTGAACTCCCTGGGGTCTAGTGTACTCCTTGGGGTCTAGTGTACTCCCTGGGGTCTAGTGTACTCCCTGGGGTCTAGTGTACTCCTTGGGGTCTAGTGTACTCCCTGGGGTCTAGTGTACTCCCTGGGGTCTAGTGTATTTCCTGGGGTCTAGTGTATTTCCTGGGGTCTAGTGTATTTCCTGGGGTCTAGTGAACTCCCTGGGGTCTAGTGTATTTCCTGGGGTCTAGTGTATTTCCTGGGGTCTAGTGAACTCCCTGGGGTCTGGTTTACTCCCTGGGGTCTGGTTTACTCCCTGGGGTCTGGTTTACTCCCTGGGGTCTGGTGTACTCCCTGGGGTCTGGTGTACTCCCTGGGGTCTGGTGTACTCCCTGGGGTCTGGTGTACTCCCTGGAGTCTGGTTCACTCCCTGGGGTCTGGTGTACTCCCTGGGGTCTGGTTTACTCCCTGGAGTCTGGTTCACTCCCTGGGGTCTGGTGTACTCCCTGGGGTCTGGTGTACTCCCTGGGGTCTGGTTTACTCCCTGGGGTCTGGTTTACTCCCTGGGGTCTGGTTTACTCCCTGGGGTCTGGTGTACTCCCTGGGGTCTGGTTCACTCCCTGGGGTCTGGTTCACTCCCTGGGGTCTGGTTTACTCCCTGGGGTCTGGTGTACTCCCTGGGGTCTGGTGTACTCCCTGGGGTCTGGTTTACTCCCTGGGGTCTGGTTCACTCCCTGGGGTCTGGTGTACTCCCTGGGGTCTGGTGTACTCCCTGGGGTCTGGTTTACTCCCTGGGGTCTGGTGTACTCCCTGGGATCTGGTTTACTCCCTGGGGTCTGGTTTACTCCCTGGAGTCTGGTTCACTCCCTGGGGTCTAGTGTACTTCTAGCATCTCCTCCTCCCTTCTCATTACTATCTTAGATAATTACTTAGCTCTTCTCAGGAAAGTAAAATGAGGTAACAAATGTCATTGTATTAGGCAGTATATACATTATTTTATACAACCCCATCAGTATGTGATATGACAACAACAATAGTTTTTTTTTTCTAATGGCAGCAGAGTAATCACTTTCCCTTTATCTATTGTGGAAAAATGTGTTGGGTATAGATACTGTTTGGTAATGTCCAAGGATCAGGAATGGATAAAGTATGTAAACCATGATACCACTGTACTTGTTCTCTGCGTCCAGTAGGAGATTATGTTTTCAAGTACTGCTTGCCTCCTATGTTGAGTGTAAGATTTTATGTTCAGGTGCTACTTGTTCCCTGGGTTGAGTAAAGTGAAAAGTAAAAGAAAAGCACCCTTTTCCACGCCTAGGCGTATTGGGTATATACGGCTAGCCCTGTATAGACCAAATGGCACTTGGTGGGTGATAGTGTCAGCATCATTCCGGCTGCTTTTACTTCCCAGGACTGTACCCGGTACCCACTCAAGGCTGAGTCGACCTGGGAGCCAAGGTCATATTTAAAAAAAGTCCGGCCCCCGTCAGGACCGGAACCCACGATCTTCCCATCTGCAACCGAGCGTCTAGCCGCTTGACCGCGGTGGCTGGGACTGGGAGATTATTTGTTCAGTACTATTGTCCCCTGTGTTGAGTGGGAGATTTTATGTTCAGTACTACTTTTTCTCTATGTTGAGTGGGAGATTATGTGTTCAAATACTACTTATTCCCTGTGTCATGATCTCTGATGGGATCAGGTGTATCTCTCCATACAGGCTGTGTCATTACTACTTGTTGAGTGTGAGATTGTATGTTCAAGTTCTGCTTGTGCCTTGTCTACAGATCTCTGATGATGTTGTGTGTATCTCTCCATACAGGCTGTGTCATTACTACTTGTTGAGTGTGAGATTGTATGTTCAAGTTCTGCTTGTGCCTTGTCTCGGATCTCTGATGATATTGAATGTCTGTCTCCATACAGGCTGTGTCATTACTACTTGTTGAGTGTGAGATTGTATGTTCAAGTTCTGCTTGTGCCTTGTCTCGGATCTCTGATGATATTGAATGTGTCTGTCTCCATACAGGCTGTGTGTTCATGTACTACTTGTCCCCTGTGCTGAGGTCTCTGATGGCTGTCATCATGAATCACCTGGAGGTATCCCGAGAAGCTCGCTTGAAGAACTGCCCTAAGTATCATGATGCTGCAGTTAAACTGGTCTATTGTTTAGCACAGGTGAGATTGTGTGTAGCACTGGTGAGATTGTGTGTAGCACTGGTGAGATTGTGTGTAGCACTGGTGAGATTGTGTGTAGCACTGGTGAGATTGTGTGTAGCACTGGTGAGATTGTGTGTAGCACTGGTGAGATTGTGTGTAGCACTGGTGAGATTGTGTGTAGCACAGGTGAGATTGTGTGTAGCAAGGTGAGATTTATGTAGCACAGATAAGATTGTGTGTAGCACAGGTGAGATTGTGTGTAGCACAGGTGAGATTGTGTGTAGCACAGGTGAGATTGTGTGTAGCACAGGTGAGATTTATGTAGCACGGGTGAGATTTATGTAGCACAGGTGAGATTGTGTGTAGCACATGTTAGATTGTGTGTAGCACAGCTGAGATTGTGTGTAGCACATGTTAGATTGTGTGTAGCACAGCTGAGACTTGTGTAGTACAGGTGTAATTGTGTGTAGCACATGTGAGTTTGTAAAGCACAGGTGAGATTGTGTGTAGCACAGGTGAGATTGCTGACCTTAATCTAGTATGTTCAAATCATAATTAGGACAGGGATTAAACAAAAAATGATCTTGACTTCTTTGTTGACTTAGCTTAAAGGAAATTTTAAAAAAAATGTTATGGGAAGTAAATACATTTTGTGGGATAATGAGTGCTGATTGGTCTAAAAAATTTGGAGAGTGCTAACTATTCTATAAACTACAGAGAGTGCTGATTGGTCTGTGAACTGTGGAAAATGCTCAAAGGTCTGTCAACTATGGATAGTGATGATTGATTTATGAACTATGAAGATTGCTGACTGTTCTCTAAACTGTTGGAGAAGGAGAGTGCTGATTGGTCGTGTTCTATGGAGAGTGCTGATTGATCTGTGAACTGTGGAGAGTGCTCATTGGTCTGTAAATGGTGGAGCTTTCACCATATACTGACTATAAAGAACAGCATGGAAAGCAGTGTCTCTCTCTCTCTCTTGTTGCACCTCACAAGCGATAAACACCCAGTTACACAAAGTGCCACCATGCGGACAAGAATCACCAATGGAGAGGTCCCAGAAACCCCTTTCAGCCGTATAGGCCATATTTAAGGCTCGGCTATATTTAGGGCCCCTGGCAAAAGCCAGGGTGGGGCTTCAAATAACTTTGGAAAATTACACCCCAGTTTTAGTTTGTAAATGATAATAAAATCAGTCAGTTTCTACACTTAGATTAGATGTACAGGTGAGAATATTAGTTTCACAGATGTGATAAGGTATTTTACAGGTGCGAATAGACGTAGCACATATTGGATGTGGAGAGATTGTTTGGCATGACTGAGGTAGTATAATTTACTGACTGCAAATAATCCTGTTAATATTTTTGTTGAATGTTTTGTTTCTAGGGCTCCATGGTCCCTCCTCCGCTGTCAAATGTGGCAGAGTTATTTCCCTTTGTCAACCCCTATGAGGGCTACCTCCTTTTGCTGGCTTTGTGGAGATATATTAAGGTAGGATCAGTACTGATTTAGGCATTATGATAGTGTAGTGCTTGCTTGCCTTCCTGAAGCTTTAGGGTTTAAACATGCATCAACCCCGTGTGGGTTCTGGGGTGTTATTGCGGATAAAACAAGAATAGATCCACTGCCTGCCCAAAAGCATGTCGTAAAAGTCCTTCTAAACCAGAGTACATTTGCCTGAGAGGCAAGGAACCAGCAGTCTGCATGCTAATGAGTCAGACATTTGAAACAGATGTGCGCACTCAGTTTCTAGAACAGGACTAGAGTCCAGAAGTGGATGAACAACCAGAACTTTCTGCCGGAGTTTATAACCTGTGAACACGAAGAAGATAAAGAAGAAATGCGTCAAGGCAGTTTTATTTCTTTTTCATAATCAGCTTTGGCTCCCAGGTTGACCCAGCCTAAAAATGGGTACCAGGTAATCTGTTGGGGAGTAAAGGTGGCCAGCTTTTGGTTGACCCTACCATCCATCAAGTGCAAATTGGCCTATAAAAATATAGGTCTTTCAAGCACTATATACTCAGTGCTTACAATAAATATTTGAACAGTACAGATCCCTTGACAGTAGAGTATTCAGATATCATAGATGATAGAGTGCTCACAGTACGGATCCTTTGACAGTAGAGTATTCAGATATCATTTGATGAGAGAGTGCTCACAGTACAGATCCTTTGATAGTAGAGTGTTTAGATATCATTTGATGAGAGAGTGCTCACAGTACAGATCCCTTGACATTAGAGTATTCAGATATCATTTGATGATAGAGTGCTCACAGTACGGATCCTTTGACAGTAGAGTATTCAGATATCATTTGATGATAGAGTGTTCACAGTACAGATCCTTTGACAGTAGAGTGTTCAGATATCATTTGATGATAAAGTGCTCAGTTATAGTATATATTATTCAGTGATAAGACTGCTCATATAAATTAATTGTTGCTTGACATTAAAAGTAGGGCTGTACCGAATAGTGATTTTTACTATTCGGCCAAATACGAATAGGGGGACCAACTATTCGGCCGAAAATACAAATAGTGTATAGTGTATAAAATATATCTAAAAAGATTTAAAAAACACATCCATAATGTCAAATGTACGCTGAACTTTTACTTCACATATAGTAGCACAGAATAGTCATCTTCTTCTTTAGCATTCTGAGCCCTTGAGGTTTACTGCTGCAGATATCACTCGTCTCCATTTATCTCTCTAGCTGGCCTTATCTTAACAATTTATGACACCAGTTGTTTGCAGGTCTGGCTAGACATTATCTCTCGATCTTTTTTTTTGTCTGCCTCGTGGTCTACACCCATTCCTCTCTCAGGTGTATAGTTTTTACTTCTCTGTCATCTGACATTCTTTCAATATGCCCCAACTTTTTTAGTCTGTTAGCTATCATGATGCCAGTGATCAATGGTGATTTAAACAGATTATGTGTTACGTTGTTGCTTCTCACTCTCCATTCCCCGCAGTTTGCATTTTTGATGAGTCCAAAGATTTGTCGTAAGACTCTGTTTTCGAAAACCTGTAATACAGGCCTCATCTCTTTTATTTCTGCTTCAAATTTCAGAGCCATATAAAATGACTGGTCTTTTCAACGTTTTATATATTTTGATCTTGATGTTGCGAGACAGACACTTTACTTTAGCAGATGTTGAAGGGCATAGTATACTTTATTTCTAGATTGTATTTCTTCTCTCAGCATGTGGGAGCAGTTGAAGTTTGCACCCAAGTACTTATATGTTTCTGTTCGTTTGATTTTCATATTATCGACTTGAATGTGGCCAGAGTTTATATTCTTTCCATGTCTAGTTAGTATTCGTACAGAACATGTTATGTTTTGCATCCTTCAGTCAGTCTGTGGTAACTAATAACTAGGAATGAAAGAATCCTAAGTATAATAACAAGTAACTAAACTTGCAGGAAAACTAAACTTGCAGGAAAACTGCATTAGCTTTGAACAAAACCAATCGTTCCATGTTGTCAGCATTAAGGCCGTGTATGCAGAGGCGGGTGTAAGGTAACTACTATTTGTATTCGGCCCGACCGCAACTATTTGGCCGAATACCGAATAATCAATAGGTCCACTATTTGGCCCCGAAGCGAGCGAATATGGAGCGAATATTCGGTACAGCCCTAATTAAAAGTACTTGAGTACAAAAGATACAATTTGGCATTAAACAGATTAGATCAAATAGATGTCATTTGATGATAAGAATGCACAGATGCAGTAGGTATCATTTAAAGATATTTAAAAAAACACAACTAAAATGCTCATATAAAATATATGTCATTTGACAAACAGAGGGCTCATACTCTGGATGTCATTTGATGATAAGAGTGCTGATAGATAGATAGATAGATAGATAGATACAATAGATTTCATTTTGTTTTGATTAAAAACTGCTACAGTTGAAAACCATTATTATATGAAATATCAACTAGGTGATTAATTACTTCAAGGTTTGTATGGGATCTGTGAATTGGATAATGGAATTCTATCATTTTTGTGTGTCCATTTGATTGTGAGTGATGTGGCTAAGAAATTACTTATTCCTTCCCTGAATTCACAGGACAATCCACCATCAGAGTTTGAGAAGGAAGTTACAAGTCGCAGTAAGTTGCTTTATTTACATGATAGTTTCCATCCGGCCATTTGATTTCATTTAGAGAAAAGCTGTCTGCAAAATAAATAGCTATAAAAAGCAACACTGTTGCTCACTGGAAAGGGGGGGGGGGGGGGGGGGGGGAAGGGGGTCATGACACTGAGGGTTGGAAGCTGCATGACTAGTGCATTTGCCCTGAACTGTGCAGGTTACGGCTGTTTTCTGTGTGTGCCCTCCAACAGCAACACAAATCTCCACTCCTTACCAGGGTCTGCTTCTTGGTGTTCACTGGCTGTAGAGTCTGCTTCTTACTTCACTTCTGGGACTTTTGTCCCAGAACTTGAGTTTGCATGCACATCTGTTTTACAGATCTGGCTTATTTGATGCAGACTGTTGGTTCCTCACCTCTCATTCAGCTGCACTTAGATTTCAAATTAACTAATTAGTTAATTGTTATGGCATGATTGTTAGAGGGGCTTTACGGCGGGATCCCGGAACCCCCCACAGGGCTATCAAGGATCAAACCGCAGTCCTTCATAAGCGGCCCAGTGCCCTTACTACTTGGCCAGCCCATCCTGTTTAAAAAAAAAAGGTAAAGGTTCCATTTCCATACCCTTGAGGTGTTGTGGGATATTTTACAAGCTCCCTTATTATCTTAGGTTATGCAGTTTTCGGATGCTTGCCTGCTAAATTGGGTGCGAATCTGTATTGATGCAGTTTTTGATAGAATGGCCTTTGCTCCCAGGTCAGCCTAACCTGAACTGGGTAGCAGGTAGTGACCTAGGAAGTAAAGCTAGCCATTGTGATGTTAACTATGTCACCATTCGAGTGCCAGTTGGTCTTTAGAGTGGAGCTAAGACCTGACATGACGCCACTCTGGACATTCCTGTAAGTGCTCTCTCCTCAAATTTAGCAACCGGCAAAGAGTTCCAGTTCAGATGGTCTGCATTTCTATGTCCCTGTGGGTTACAGTGTTAGGACATTCTGGTTATAATGTTCTCATGTTTTCTCAGTGTTTGTCCTATCCAGCATCAGCATGTTTTCTTCACCCCTTGATTCCCTAGAATCTGTTTAGTTCTCTCCCATAGCTCAACATTAGTGATCCTATCATACCACTTAAATCTCTCTATTCTGCACCAGTTAATAAATGTTTGTGGTTTTTTAGTAATCATTTTAATTGTTTAGATGCAGTGTATTTATTCATCCTTTTTCTGTATGGTATCAATCATGTATGTATTTATAATCCACAGCCTGTGACAGCTCACATATGTATGTGGTCAACTCAATCATACATGCCAACATCAACCACATGGGCCATCTGTGTCTCCGTATGTTCAACATGTGAATGAATAGATATGGAGAGATATCTTTGGAGCTAATCAGGTCTCACAGGTGTACCCCTGGAGCTGGTCAGATCTCACCAGTGTAACCCTGGAGCTGGGCAGATCTCTTGGAGCTGGGCAGATCTCACCAGTGTAACCCTGGAGCTGGGCAGATCTCTTGGAGCTGGGCAGATCTCACCAGTGTAGCCCTGGAGCTGGGCAGATCTCACCAATGTAGCCCTGGGGCTAGGCAGATCTCTTAGAGCTGGGCAGATCTCACCAGTGTAGCCCTGGAGCTGGGCAGATCTCTTAGAGCTGGGCAGATCTCACCAGTGTAGCCCTGGAGCTGGGCAGATCTCACCAGTGTAGCCTTGTAGCTTGTCAGATCTCTTGGAGCTAATCAGGTCTCATCAGTGTAAGGCTGGAGCTGGTCAGATCCCTCAGAGCTGGGTGGATCTCACCAGTGTAGTCCTGGAGCTGGACAGATCTCTTGGAGCTGGGCAGATCTCACTACATATAACATTGAACCTGGAATTGTTGAACTGCATTCCCACACGTTAACCACAGACGCTGACAAAGTGCACTGTAGTTACAGAAATATTGTTTGTCTGCCTTTGCCTTCCAACTATTTCAGCACTACAGAATCCTAGCTAATTTCCTGGGGAGTTACGAATGGATATATATATATATATATATATATATATATATATATATATATATATATATATATATGTATATATATATATATATATATATATATATATATATATATGTATGTATATATATATATATATATATATATATATATATATATATATATATATATATATATATATATATATATATATATATATATATATATATATATATATATATATATATATATATATATATATATATACACATACACTACTTTCAGAGGGGCCAAATATACAACCCTTGCAGGAAGAAAATATAGTCAAAGTTTTTCTGAGTTCCTCACTGAATATAAGATGCAGAAACATACATAATATGTTTCCGCCTGTGGGTTCCGAGGCCCCATTGTGGGGAAAACAAGAATAGGCACACTGCCTCCCCAACAAGCATTCCGTATGAGTTGACTAATTGGGGGCTTCCTTCGAAGTCGGAGTGCATCTGCCTGAGAGGCAAGGAACCAACCGTCTACTGCCTGAGAGGCAAGGAACCAACCGTCTACTGCCTGAGAGGCAAGGAACTAATGGTCTACACACAGTTAAGTCAGATCTTTTAAATAGATGTGCTTGCAGCTCTCAGGTTCTGGAACAAGACTAGTGGTGGACAAACAACCAGAACTTTCTGCTGGAGTTTACAGCTGGTGAATGCAAAGAAGTAGTAGATATAACATGTTGACTGGTACACAGAACTTTCTGCTGGAGTTCACAGCTGGTGAATGCGAAGAAGTAGTAGATATAACATGTTGACTGGTACACAGGAATAAGCTCCAGTCAGGCATAGTGCATTGTTTGAGACAGAAAGAGTTGTGTTGCAGTTCATAGTTGTACTGTGATGTCTGTGCTGTTTGACCCAACACATCCAGTTTCAGCAAATCCTTCATTAATTACATTTTGACATGCTTGTCCAAGATCAGTAGGCCCCCCCCCCCCCCCCCACCCCCTTTTCCTCCCCAAACAAAATGCAGCCCCAGAACCCAGATTAGGAATCACAGTAATAAGACTGGGACTGCTGTGGCTGTAGAATCTCTGGGTTGGGTGTATACATTTTGTAATTATGACATTGATAATTCTCATATAATTTTTTGATTGAAAGATTGTGGTGTGTTGTATTGTATAAAGTATGCTGCAGTTAATCGTTCTCTTGTTATAAACATTATATTTATCCACAAATAAATTTTGTTATTACAATATTGTGATGAGTTTACTGTTTGATACAAGAAATAATTTGTTTCTGTACTTCCACTCTGAGGTAGTAACTTGCAGTTTTGACTCTGTCTTCTTTTTCTAATATTTCAGCTGTAAAATCTGTTGAAAAGTCCTTGTTGTTTGTCCACTTCTGGACTTTGCTTCTGTTTAAGAACTTGAGTCCTGCATGCATGCATCTCTATTTACAGATCTGGCTTACTTGCCTGCAGACTGTTGGTTCCTCGCCTTCTAGGCAGATGCATTCTGACTTCGAAGGATTGACTCCTGGTAAGGTGACTCAGGAAGCTTATTTGGAGATAACAGCCTAAAGTAAAAATCCATGGTTTCTTGTTCAACCATGTACAGTGGTACCTTTGTATATGTCCATAATTGATCAATTCCAGATCCTTGGATGTATACCAAACACATTTTTCCATAAGAAATGAAGAGATATTAATCCGTTATTTAATAAAGAATGCATTTGCAAAATCACAGAAATTATACTAAATAATTCTCTCTAAAACTCTGTTTAAAGAAAATTGAAGTTCTGAACGACAATAGAAATTTTTTGATGCCCCTGCTGACTGTGAGGCCCTAATCTTTAACTAAGATGCCACTGCAATAGGGAAAATCCTAGATACCCCATTCAACCCCCTATAACAATCACTCAAGTACTAAGAAGCACTACAAACAAAAGAAGCTGTGACTAGAAAGCGTAGTGAAGGGAACAGAGAATACGGATACTGAACGTTTCTACCAGTCTTTGTCAACGGTGAAATCAAGAATTACTTTATACAAAACAAACTTCGACTTGAAGGCATAATAAATAGTACCAGTGAGCTTTCTAGTTAGTTCATTTAGTACTTCCTGATACCAGCTCGATCAATTTGTCCCTCAAACTGCTACCTAATGGTTTACCTTACTATCTTGAGATTTCAAAACCTCAGTCTGGGCAGCAGATCTCAGATACCCCGTTCAACCTTCAAAGAAATTATAATTAGGGCACCTGTAGCGGCCAGACCAGCCAGAGTAACCTGTTGTCCTAAGCAGGTATTAGCTGGACTGAGGTATCAGCTAGACTAAGGTGTCAGCTCGACTAAGGTATCAGCTAGACTGAGGTATCAGCTAGACTAAGGTGTCAGCTGGACTAAGGTATCAGCTAGACTGAGGTATCAGCTAGACTGAGGTGTCAGCTAGACTAAGGTGTCAGCTCGACTAAGGTATCAGCTAGACTGAGGTATCAGCTAGACTAAGGTGTCAGCTGGACTAAGGTATCAGCTAGACTGAGGTATCAGCTAGACTAAGGTGTCAGCTAGACTAAGGTATCAGCTAGACTAAGGTATCAGCTAGACTAAGGTATCAGCTAGACTAAGGTGTCAGCTAGACTAAGGTGTCAGCTAGACTAAGGTATCAGCTAGACTAAGGTATCAGCTAGAGTAAGGTATCAGCTAGACTGAGGTATCAGCTAGACTAAGGTATCAGCTAGAGTAAGGTATCAGCTAGACTAAGGTATCAGCTAGACTAAGGTATCAGCTAGACTGAGGTATCAGCTAGACTAAGGTGTCAGCTAGACTAAGGTATCAGCTAGACTAAGGTGTCAGCTGGACTAAGGTGTCAGCTAGAGTAAGGTATCAGCTAGAGTAAGATATCAGCTAGACTAAGGTATCAGCTAGAGTAAGGTATCAGCTAGAGTAAGGTATCAGCTAGACTGAGGTATCAGCTAGACTGAGGTATCAGCTAGAGTAAGGTATCAGCTAGAGTAAGGTATCAGCTAGAGTAAGGTATCAGCTAGACTAAGGTATCAGCTAGAGTAAGGTATCAGCTAGAGTAAGGTATCAGCTAGACTGAGGTATCAGCTAGACTGAGGTATCAGCTAGAGTAAGGTATCAGCTGGACTAAGGTATCAGCTAGACTAAGGTATCAGCTAGAGTAAGGTATCAGCTCGACTAAGGTATCAGCTAGAGTAAGGTATCAGCTAGAGTAAGGTATCAGCTGGACTAAGGTATCAGCTAGAGTAAGGTATCAGCTAGAGTAAGGTATCAGCTGGACTAAGGTATCAGCTAGAGTAAGGTATCAGCTAGACTAAGGTATCAGCTAGACTGAGGTATCAGCTAGAGTAAGGTATCAGCTAGAGTAAGGTATCAGCTAGACTGAGGTATCAGCTGGACTAAGGTATCAGCTAGAGTAAGGTATCAGCTAGACTGAGGTATCAGCTAGACTGAGGTATCAGCTAGAGTAAGGTATCAGCTAAAGTAAGGTATCAGCTAGAGTAAGGTATCAGCTAGACTGAGGTATCAGCTAGACTGAGGTATCAGCTAAACTAAGGTATCAGCTAGACTAAGGTATCAGCTAGACTAAGGTATCAGCTAGACTGAGGTATCAGCTAGACTGAGGTATCAGCTAAACTAAGGTATCAGCTAGACTAAGGTATCAGCTAAACTAAGGTATCAGCTAGACTGAGGTATCAGCTAGACTGAGGTATCAGCTAGACTAAGGTATCAGCTAGACTAAGGTATCAGCTAGACTAAGGTGTCAGCTAGACTAAGGTATCAGCTAGAGTAAGGTATCAGCTAGAGTAAGATATCAGCTAGACTAAGGTATCAGCTGGACTAAGGTATCAGCTAGAGTAAGGTATCAGCTAGACTAAGGTGTCAGCTGGACTAAGGTATCAGCTCGACTAAGGTATCAGCTAGAGTAAGATATCAGCTAGACTAAGGTATCAGCTGGACTAAGGTATCAGCTAGAGTAAGGTATCAGACAAACTAAGGTATCAGCTGGACTGTAGTGAACCATTTTCTCCCTGATAAGTTATATTACAGAAAGAATGACGTCAGGTGATGAATATGAATGAGATATTTGAATGTAACGAGTACAAAGCCGGGAAAATGTTGACCAAATGAAATCCGTGCGAATTGGAGAACACAAGAAAGTCGTATGTGGGCGTAATTATAATGTGGAAGCCGTCTGCCAGGTGATTGTGTGTGTTCGCCCGTCATGGAGAACATTCGTTATCTTTCAATTTCTGTTGTGTAATGCTGGTCGTTTGTAATTTCTGTTTGAAGGTCAAGTTGATCCTTATAAATAGATCCTAGATATGAGTACAAAACAGGTTACCTCACCATGTACTGGCTGAAGAAACAGCGTGT